AGGGAAATATAATAACACCACCTCAGCTAATGGATGTAACTGGAAAACTTGGAAAACTGCCCACAAGTTGACCCTGACTCAAATTTTGGGGCAGGGAGTCTGCCTAGGCAATCCACCACCCACGCACCAGCCCCTCTGTAACCAGACACACTACTTACTTCCCAAGCCTGGACTCTGGTGGGCATGCAATACTGGGCTGACACCATGCATACATACTCGAACCCTAGATGCCACCAAAAACTTCTGCGTCCTGATTCGCCTGCTACCCCGAGTCTTTTACCACCCCGCTAATTACTTAGAGCAGATCTATGAAGGACACCCAAGCCGGTTTCAAAGGGAGCCGCTGTCACTCACCCCAGCTGTCCTTATGGGGATGGGGGTGGCAGCCAGAGTGGGTACAGGGGCAGCAGCCCTCATACAAGGCCCCCAGCAATGCAAGGAATTAAAGTCAGCCATGGCAGAGGACCTAAAAGCTATAGAGGGCTCTATTACCAGACTAGAACCCTCCCTGGCATCCCTAGCTAGGGTGGCCCTTCAAAATTGCAGAGAGCTCGACCTCCTCTTCCTAAAAGAGGGGGTAATATGTGCGGCCCTAAAGAAAAAATGTTGTTTTTATGTTAACCACTCAGGGGTTATCAGAAACTCCATGGCAAAACTTAGAGAAAGGCTCAGTCAACGAGAAAGAGAAAAAAAAAGCCCAACAGGGCTGGTTTAAAGAATGGTTCAATAAGTCCCCTTGGATGACTACTTTAGTGTCTACTATGTTAGGACCCCTGACCATCCTCCTCCTTGTGCTCATCTTTGGGCCTTGCATTCTTAAAAGCTTCCTCCAATTCATTAAAGATCGCCTATCTATAACCCAAGCCCTAATTCTAACCCACCAATATCAGTCCCTCAAGCAACAAGAGGGACCTTAAGTTTTAGGATTAAAACCTCACAAAAAGAAATGGGGGAATGAAAGATTTTACTTTGCAGAGCAAGGATGTAGGAAAAGGGCAGGAGAATAATTATTGCAAGCGGAATATAGAAAATCATAAGGCATGAACATTGACATGGGAGGAAAGAACAGAAACTATGAAAACAAGAAAGTTACTATAGTGAGGGGGGCTAATGGTCATGCTAGACTGATCTTGTTAAATAGGGTTAGTTACAGCCAAGAGAAAGCCAGAGTATGAAAAAAGTTTCTCACAGGCGTGGCCCACAACAAGGAATTAGGCCCCAACCCTGGAACAAATGGTCCCAGATGAACAGCCCTGTCTGGGTCACTCCTGGCCAATGGACAGTCTGGGACTTTCCAAGTCATTCTATGGTTTATCCTTTGAATAAGAAAAGGTCATACCTGGGTGATCTCTCAAACATGAGATCATACTTTGTAATCAGTCACCTTGTGCCCCATGCATGTGTGCTGATTGCGGCCTTTCTCTATAAAAAGGAGCCTGAACCCTTTGGGGGGTGTGCAGCTTTCCCCAAGATTGCTGACACCAGAGAGCACTCATTCAATAAACACCTCTTGCTTGTTGCATCTCCTGTTTTTGGTGTTTGTGTTGCGGGGCTCTCCCATTGGCCCATCAGGACCCCAGAATTAGGGCCCAACAAACCCACACCTTTTTTGCTGTTGTTGTTTTTGAGATAGGGCTTCTGTGAAACATTCTTGGCTGTCCTGGAACTCTTTCTGTAGACCAGGCTGTCCTCAAACTCACTGAGATCTGCCTGCCTCTGCCTTCCAAGTGCTGGGGTTAAAGGAGTGTGCCACCACTGTCCGACTCAGGGTCCACATCCTTAACCATTACACCATGTATTTTTCAAACACTGGGCTACAACTGCAACCCAGCAAGAGACTTCCCATTGACTACTAAAACTATCTGTGGCTTTTGTTTTAGTAAATCTTTAAATCTGAAATCAAAGTTCCCTCCAGAGAGAAAAAGCAAAACTGATTTAAAAAAAAAAAAAAAGTGTCACAAACTGGATGACAATAATGTCATTGCCTCACTGTTCTGAAAGATAAAATCCCAGATCCAAGTGCCATCTGGGTTGGTACCTCCCAGGCTTCCCCCTAGTTTCTGGAGGTGTCTTGTTTCTAGCGGGCCACCCAGCCCATGTCTTCATCTTCCTAAGGCATTCATCTGTGCCGACGTCTTGCCTAAGTGTCTCTGTTTGAAAGGACTTTAGCTGTTAACCCCCTAGGCACACAGGCACCCAAACGGCCAGGCCCCTCCCCGCTGAGGACCTCCCTGTCAGGTTCCACCCACTGAACACTAACTGTCCTAACATCCTGACCTGCCCCCACCCTACAGAGTAAAACGCCCAGGCTCTAGACTTGAAATTCTACCCAATCCCCACTCTGGAAAGCTTCGCCTTGAAAAGGTCCACCCCCACCCCCAAGAAATTCTCTATAAACCCTGCCTTCTGCTCAGTTCTAGGCTGTTTCTCGCAGAGCAGAGGCAGCCATCTTCTTGTTCCCACCCCTCCCCCGTCCCCAATAAGTCTCTTGTTTGAGGTATGTTGTGTAGTGGGACTTTGTGGTACCCTTGTCTCCCAATCCTTCCATGCGATCTGTTCCGCTTTCATTAGCCATAGCACATTAGGACCCCGTCTACCCTCATATGGCCTCATCTAAACTAATTACATCAGAAATGACCCCGTTTTCAAAAGGACACATTCAGAAGAACCTAAGGGTTAAGAATTTAACATATGGTCTTTGAATTCGAGGCCAGCCTGGTCTACAGAATGAGTTCGAGAACAGCCAGGGCTACACAAAGAAACCCTGTCTCAAATAACAAACAAACAAACAAACAAAACAAAAAACAAAAAATTTAACCTATGGGCTAGAGAGACAGCTCAGCCATTAAGAGTACTTACTGTTCTTGGAGAGGGTTCCAAATGACAGTTCACCTGTGAAAACATTCTAGGGGAACTAATGCTCTCTTCTGACCTCTGTGGGCTCCTGCACACATGTGGTACACAGACAGACATAACACACACATATACATATACACACAAAATGAAGTATTTTAAAATTTTAACGTATGACACAATTTAACCTATATCATTAGGTTTATTTTTTTTCTATAGTAATTTTCAATAATTAAATCCTCTTTTGTCAAACAAGTAGAAGCTTGTTTCTCAGATATGACCAACAGCAGCTACAGCTTCTTAGCTTTGGTTTAGCAACCAAATTTTATTGCCACCCACTTCAAGAAGGACCAACCAACTACATGGTTTCTGGAAAAAAAAAAAAAACAGGTAAGAATATTGACGTCTAGGCTAGTTGAGGTGGTACATGTCATTAATCCCAGTGGTTGAGAGGCAGAGGCAGGAGGATCTCTGTGAGTTCGAAGCCAGCCTGTATACATTGTGAGTTTCCAGGACAGCTAGAGCTACATAGACCATCTTAACAATGCAAGGCACCAGAGGACATGAAGTTGGGGAGAGGAATGTAGTGGAAGAGACTTTGAGGGGAAATTGGAGGGGGGACTTAAGGGTGGGTGTGATGAAAATGTATTGTATACATGTATGAAATTGAAAAAGGAATATTCCATTAAAGAACAAACACAGATGGATCTGTTCAATGGGCAAATGGGTTTCCACACAAGCCTGGAGATCCCCCCAGAACCTATGTAATAATGCAAAAAGAGAACCAACTCCCAAAAGCTGTCCTCTAAAGACCTGTACACATGGCACAAATGCCACCTGTTGTAGAACATTAATTATGTAAAGACATGTAGCTTTTGTTTCTGTTGTATTTGCTTAGCTATGTAAAGCTGTGTTGCTGTTTCACCTTGCCTGCCTAAGGCACCTGATTGGTCTAATGAAAAGCTGAACAGCCAATAGCGAGGCAGGAGAAGGATATGCAGGGCTGGTGGGCAGAGAGAGGCTAAGTAAGAGGAGGAATCTAGGCTGGAGAGAGGAGAAAGAGAAGGAGACACCAGGGGCCGGGCTGACCAGACGCGGAAGCAGGAAACCAGGGTGGGCAGTACGTATATGAGGTAAACAAGCCTCAGGGAAGGAAGCACATGATCAATAGAAATGGGTTCATTTAAGTTGGAAAAAAATAAAGCTAGTTAGAAACAAGCCTAAGCTAAGGCCGAACATTCATAAGCCTCTGTGTCATGATTTGGGGGCTGGTGGTCCAAGAAAGGCTGCCATGGCCACACCCTACCTCATGAACACAGACATTAACAGTAACAAATAAATAATTAGTGTCCCTGGTCTGGTAATGGATGGGTCTGGATTTAACTTGAGTTTATATTGACTGTATTAATTACATTTTACTGATTTACTTGGTATACAGGTGTATGTGGGTGGGTGAGTGTGCTACAGCATGGGGGGGGTGGGAGAGGACAGTTTTCAGGAGCTGTTTCTCTTCCTAGCATATGGATGTGGAGAGTAAGTTTCAGGCTTTAGGCTTGGTGGAGAACCCCTTTACCTGTTGAACCATCCTGTCCATCTAGTTTAACTTAACTGTGTTTTCATCTGGCTCAAGGGAAAATTACCTAGAAACTTGTAACAATATCTGTATGAATGTTTGAAACTGTCCTCCCACTTTGCAGAACTTACCCAGGCATTCTTTTTTAAAAAGGCTTCCTGGACATAGTATCTTAATTATTACCAATACATATGTGTCAAAACCTACTTGATCTGATTACCTATCTAGTCCAGGCTCACACTTGCTATGTAGCTGGAAGGTGACCATGATCTGGTCCTCCTGCCTCCAACTCTGGATCACAGGTCTACTAGATTGTAGAGTTAGTAAAGCCAATGAGGAAAGCAAGACACCAACCGCTTTTTAAAGGCTTCCTTTTTTGAAGCAGGGTCTCACTATGTAGCTGTGGCTAGCATAGAACTCAGAGATCCTCCTGCTTCTGCTTCTGAGTGCTGAGATTAAAGGCATGTGCCAACACAGTGTGTCTCTTTACATTGATTTAGTGTGTATACGCATGCATGTTCATGCCATGGTGAACATGTGGTGGTCAGAGGATAACTCGTAAGCGTCAGTTTTCATGCTCACTTCTGCAGCACATACACTAAAATTGGAACAATACAGAGAAGATTAGCAAGGCCCCTGTGCAAGGGTGACATTCAAAATCGTGAAATGTTCTATATTTTAAAGAGTCGCTTTCTCCTTCCATCATATGGATTCTGGGGATCAAACTCCAGTCCTCAGGCTTGATGCTAAGAGCTTTTACCCACTGAGCCAGCTCACTGACCCCATCAGCAGCTCCTTTATTGGATATCATTCATTGTCTGCCTCAACTACAAGCTAGTTCTGACATGTTTGAAACTGAGATCACTACCTCCCTTCTAAGTCCTTTTCAGCTCCCTATCTTAATGAAGGGCCAGCCCTAGTCTCAGCTGATCACAGCAACACTGTTTTGTTGTTCGTGTATGAAGTGTCACTGGCCTTCCCATTCTTTTCTTGGGGGTGGCGTAGAGGGGCATGTGCATGGGTAGATGTACATTTGTACATGCATATGTATATTGTCTTGGTCAGATTTTGACAACTTGACATAAGCTAGTGGTTTGGGGAAAGGGATTCACAGTTGAGAAGATGCCTCCATAAGATTTGGCTCTAGGCACCTGTAATACATTTTAGTAATGATCGATGTGGGTGGTGCCATCTGTGGACAGGTGGTCCTGAATGATGTAAGAAAACAGGCTGAGCTGGGCATTGGTGGCACATGCCTTTAATCCCAGCACTGGGTTGGCAGATGCAGGAGGATTTCTGTGATTCGAGGCCAGCCTGGTCTACACAGCGAGCTCCAGGACAGGCTCCAAAGCAATAGAGAAACCCTGTCTTGAAAAACCAAAAAAGAAAAGAAAGCAGGCCTACATGGAGGAAGCCAGCAAGCAGAGTTCTTCCAAGGTCTCAGCTTCAGTTCCTGCCCCCACGATGCTGCCCTGGCTTCTTCACTCTTCATGTCAGGACTAGATACTGTAAGTGGAGATAAATGTTTCCCTCCTCCAGTTGTTTTTACCATGGTGTTTACCACAGCAACAGAAACAGTACGACAGCAGTGTAGGCCAGAGGCTGATGCTGGGCATTTTCTTTAGTTGTTTTCCACCTTTTCTGAGACAGAGACTCTCACTCAACCTGGACCCCACTGATTCGGCTAACCTGGCTGGGCAGCAAGTCCAAGGGATTACCAGCCTCCTCTGCAGCACTGGGCTAACAGTGCCACCAAGCCCAGCTTGTGGTGCTCAGGGCTGCTTCTGCAGCAAACACTATTAACTGAGCCATCTCCCCATCCCATTGGCATATCTCAAAGCATCTCTCCTTCATATTCTCAGTTGCCTTGGTTAGGCCTCAGTCATTTTCTGTCCTGACCACCTGTTACCGTTTGCAAGTGGAACACTCATAGGAATATGTCATGGATCATGCTGTGACCCTGCTGCAAACTTTTGAATGGCTTCCCTACGAGTCAGGATAAACCCAAAGCAGTTTGACAGCTATGAAGTGGCCTCAATATTCTGGACCTATACTCTCCCTTCTCCAGCACAGTTTCCAGATCCTACTTCATCACAGCAGACTGCCATCTGCCTACAACAGTGATTATACACTCTCATCTCCTGAGACTGTCCTTAGACATCACTCCAGGTTTAGAGCATTCACTCTCCTCTGCCACAGGGGACCCCATGCTTAAGTCCAGTAAGGCAACGATTCCTTTGGCATTGTGGCCATCTTCCCATCTAACTCAGGAGCAACTGCAGAACAAGAGGGTTGTTTCTAGTTTTGCTCACATCTTTATACTTATATCTATAGTAGCTGGCAAGAGCCCCACATGTGGTGGATGCTACAAAATATTTAATCAATTCTGAATGGATTTTTGATTTTTTTCATTCTTTCTAAATTCAAGTAGGTGGCTAACAGCAGGGTGGTTGGTGAGATCTTTCATAACATCAGAAGCTGCAGTTAACTACAGCCATGTAAAAACACATGAAAAGTGTAGACTAGGGAATCACCAACACTTCCATGGGATGACTTGCATAGCATCTAAGTTGGCTAGAGTTTGTGCTGGAAAGGGCGGGCAGCACTCAGCTGTTTCGGGACACTTTGTGCAGCCAGCCTGTCACCTTTCAGTGAGTGATCCTGTGTGCATACCACCACCACTCTGGGAACCTTGGCTAGAAAGGACTATCACCTTTTAGCTTCTGAAGAGGACCATCACTGGCAATTTTCATTCCAATCTTTGTTTTGAGACAGGGTTTCTGTGTAACAGCTCTGGCTGTCCTGGAACTCACTCTGCAGAACTGGCTGGGCTCAAACTCCACCTGCCTCTGTCTCCCAAATATGGGATTAGACGTGTGCACCACTACCACCACCACCTGGCTTTCATTCCGATCTTAGAGCCCTCTTTCCTTCCAAAGTGAAGATGTGTCATGAATGGTGGCACACATCTACAATCTCAGTACTCTGAGATACCAGCAGAATGTCCAGCCTGCTCCACTCCCTACAGAGTTCCTATTTCCAAAAGCAAAAACAGTGACTCAAAAGCTGCACTTTCCATCATAGGCAAAGTCTAGATTTAAATGCACACACATATGACATCAAAGTAGAAGGGCTGGAGGGAAGGCAGAGGTAATGGGAAGGGTGTGACCAAAGTGCATGGTATACAGAGGAAAACAGCCTAGCAAAACCCATCATTACTCCAATGAACACATTCCAACAAAAGAACACAGAAAACAAAATCTCTTTAAATACAGATTGGGAAAGAAAGCAAGTCAGGTTAAAATGAAAATGTCTAGCCTACTCCCATTATCATATGCTTAGAATTAAACTCCAAACATTACCATTTTGTTATTTACTTATAGAACTAGGGATTGAACCCAGGGTCTTATGCATGCTTGACAAATACTCTACCACTAAGCTGTATCCCTAGTCAGACATTAGCCTTTAACAATATATTATCTTTACTTTTTTTTTTTTTTTTTTTTTGGTCAGCACACATGCATGTATGTACTTGTGTGCCAAAGCCTGCATGTGAAGGGTAACTTTTGGAAATCTTTTCTTCCAAATTCATGGACTGCAGAGATCAAACACAGGCCATAGGGTTTATTGGCAAGTGCCTTTACTTGCTAAGCCATCTTGACAGCCCAAGTTTTAACTTTTCATTAGGAAGCTAAGGCAAAACAACCATCCCAGCACCCCAAATTAAAGCACAATATTCTATTTTCTATACTGAAGAAATAAGAAATCTACACTATGAACTAGAAAGTCATTTTATCTGTATTTTGGAATACAGAGGAGTGTCCAAAAAGCATAGGCAAGAGCTGCTTCAGTCACTCAGATCTGCATCTGCCTCCTGCTCCACCTGGCCTACGACAGTTTACCTCATCTGTCTTTGCTTATACTTTGGTCTGTATATTTAGAACTGCTTTGGTCTTTCTTTCAAATTCTTCTTTTTCACAGAAAACATTTGCGCCCCTGCTTACTAAACTTAGAGACTGGGCACAAAGGCAATGAGTACATCTGAGATACTGTGTTCATGGAGGGGAGCGAGACACTAGGAGCAGGCTGTAAAGCCACACAGTTTGAGTCAAGTATGCATTAAAAAATAAAACTAGAGAAATTGCAATGAAGGAGAGACTCCATTGAGGGGGAAGTGAGAAAAATGTAAAATGTTATGAGGGCAGTATTTGGGTTGGGCACAGAGTATTCCAATAGTCATCAAAGCGGCCTTGCCCACACAATCTCAGCCGTGGTGGTCATGACTTATAGAATTTTTTCAACGCTTACACTTTTAAAAACTCCTCAATTGCTGTCTCATCAAACTATTCATTTCTTAAAATAGTTAAAAGATACAAAAATGATGAGGTTAGCTGTAATTTCTATGCTGTTTTTCAAGCTTCCCAGTCAAGTCAGGACCAAGAGACAGGTGATTTCTTCAGCAGAGAGCCATTTCAGATGCTCAGCTGGGCAGGAAACTTGCTTCAGATGGTCTGTCAAATCTGTATTTAAGCTTATTTGAGTAAAAATGAGAGATGAAGTAAGATGGCTTGACAGTCAAAAGTCAACAATGCAAAAATAATGGCAACTATGAAATGACATCTACTACCACAGAATTCCTTGTATGATTTTTAATGAATTATGAGCCAATGAACATTACAGAATTATGCCTTAATATTTCTTCTTTCCTATGAAAAACCAGATACTTATAACAGCCTATCCCAAGTAGGACAGAAGACCATAGTGAACAGAGTAACAGTAATTAAGGTCCGTTCCACGCATGCACGCTTCCTCAAAGAACCACGAGAACTCCCCACGGCAACAACATGCAATTACATGTTTTCCTGATCACGGCTGCAGGGGAAATGGAACAGATGCCTGCCTCTCGGCAGCCTTTCAAGCACAGCACCAGCACTCTCGGTGTTCTCTCTTGTACCCTCTGTGCCCTTGTGAGGTAGTGAGGGAGCAAGGATTCCCTACTATGCAGATGAGAAAACGCGAGGTGAGATTCAGCACAACTGCTTTCACCCTTGGGCAGCACTCTGGAACCAGCAGGACATTTTTAAACCCTCATAGCCAGAACATATAACACCAACAGGTTATCAGGATTAGGGGGCCCAAGCTTAAGTATTTCTTTATATTTCTCCAAAATTCAGTTGAGCTGGGATAGCACTGATTTGAGTGACATACTCTGCCTTCAGGAACACTGTTTTCTTCTACATGCTTTCTAAGCACCTTCAACACTGAGCAGTTTGCCGTAATGATCTGGACAGCCACTACTGGTCTCTAGTAACAAACAGACCCAGCTATAAATGAAGGCTCTCTGCTCACCTGATGCTCATCCTATCTGGGAACAGTCAATTCTTTGAGCTAGGAATGGCTTGTTCTAGGAAAGGGGAATATACTTGTATTCCCAGTATTGGCGAGACTGAGGCAGGGAAGACCACTGTGAGTTCAAGGATAGCTTGAGCTACATAGCGAGAACCAGTCCTAAAAAAATCAAAAACAAAACATGCAAAGACTGGCTTGTTGTTATATAGTTAGGCAATCATCTGATTTTAGGTTCAATGAGGAATGAATAACCACATCATTTTCTTTTCCAGTCAGCACCCTCAGAACTGGGTTGCAAATGAACATTTATGACAAGACAAAAACAAAGTTAT